CTTTCTCCTCCTTTCTTGGCTGAAAACTCGCTGTTTGTTTGTTGCACTTTTATTGCGTTTTGTGCTGGGGCTCCTCGGCTAAGTAGTCCTTCGTCCCTGCCATAAACATGTCGTCTTTCGCTTGATTTAGCGTTTGGCTACCGCCCATCCTCCCCAATTGCTGGCCAACAAAATGGTGTGTCCGAGCCACTGACCGCTGTAGGCATACGCGGCGTATACGTAATGCTCGACATCCCTTTCAGTCCATTTTTACGGGCCCTGGGAAAGTGCAACAATGGGAGCCACGCCTCCTGCCCTGTCACATGCCCTTCTAATGCAAAGCTTTCCAAACTCGATCAAGATGGAGTCATAAATCTTGCGCCCCTCATGAAGTTTCCATTGAATCTGCATACAATGGGGCTGTCCGCTTTTTGGGGCCACTCGAAATTGCTCAATTCAAGAAATCGAGCAAACAAAACGCTACAGTTGCACTTAAACCAAAGCTGAACCATCACAGTGCTTAGATAAATATTATAAAAATAAATAAGACTCTTTTGATACATGCAGAAGTTTAAGGATTTATCCTTAATTTAATTTGTATTTCATTTTATTATGCATGGAATTCCATATCCCTGAATTGATTACTTAAGTCTGTGGTGCAGAATTCTTTACTGATTTGCTTTTGTTATTCCTTTCCAGGCCAAATCAACTCCAAAAATGTCCTAATCCGATCGCAGAGCAGTGGCAAGCTAAGCAGCAATGAAGCAAAATCAGCAAAGCCAACAGCAACGACCAGTACAACGACGACTCTGCGAGCGGCCAAGCTCAAGATCGGGGCCATGCAACAGCAGAAGCAGCAGCAGCATCAGGCCACCAGCGGCGGCAACATCATCCTGCTGCGCGGCACCCGCAACGAGAATGGCCAGATCATCATCCAGAACAAGCAGGACATACTCAGCCTGCTCAGCGAGCAACAGCAGCAGCAGGAGAAGAGCCACTCCGCCACGGCCATCACGCTCAACCAACTGCCCACGGCCACAACGGTGGCTAGGAAGACCATTGTGCAGGGCTCGAGTGGAGCTTCGAGCGGAAGCAGCTCCACCATTTCCATTGTGGCCAACAGCAACAACAAGGAGGCCAGCAGCAACACGATCCTCTTGCAAACCCCCATCAATGCCAGTCAGCTGGAGAGTGTTCTAAAGGCCCAGGAGCGTTCCAAGCAGGCCAACGCCACGCAAACCAAGATGGTGGAGAGGCCCTTTATGCTGAAGCATGTAAGAGCGTGCTGTACTTAGACCCATTTGTGCTATATTTTGCTAACCCGTTCAATCACTCTTACAGGCCACACGCAGCTTGAGTTCCGAGAGCAACTGCGACAGCAAGTCGCCCTTTGTGCTGCAAACGCTGAAGCGTCTGGAGAAGTCTCAATCCATACTGGTCATACGCAACTCCACGGCGTCGTCCTCTGCAAGCAACACTTCCATGGCCACCTCGCCACCAAATGGCAACAGTCTTGCCACCTCGAGTATTCTAAGCGTGACGCGCACCACGAAGGCGGCCAAGGGCGTGGCAGGAGCGCTCCACAAGCTCAAGGCAGCGGCAGCCACAACAGCCACGAGCGGAGGAGCCGCTTCAGCCGCAGCAACATCATCTACGGCCACCACCATACTTAGGCTGGGCAAGAGCGCCACCACAGTGGCCATTAATGGAGGAAGCAAGCTGGAGGCAACGACGAGCACAACCACAGCGGTGGCAGCGCCGGCGACAACGACAACATCAAATAAATTGTCCAACGCGGTGACAACCGAGCAGCAGCAACAGCAGCAGCAGCAACAATCGACAACAACGCAAACGAATGTGCCACTTGGGAACGGTAAGTCTCGAGGATTTGGTATCACCGAATTTCAAATGCGGCGCATAAATTGCTGGCGGGGTTTCGGCAGGTGTTGCAGCTGCAGCTGCAGCTGCATTTGCATCGGGACCGAACAACAAAGCCTGACGCAGTCTCCTGGCTGAAGATTTCCCGGGCTTTTGTACCCCCATCTTTGTTGCCTATTTTGGTGCTCTCTCCGGGCGGCTGGCTTCTATTTTCTGTTTAGTTTCGGAATTTTCGCTGATTTACCAGGAATTCGGCGAACGTGGCCTGCCTCACAATTATTCAATTAAATCGAGGAGCGTCTTGACCGCCCCCTCGGGGGTTCAGCTGCACTCAGCTGTGAATCCCATTGATTTTAACACCCCAGTCAGTCCGCTGCTCCCTGGTGTCCGGTGCTTTGCTCTTGGCCAGGGCAAAACAAACAGCCAACAAGACACCCCTTGTTGTGTGTGTGTGCCGTCTTCATTAGCGCTGTGTGCGCTGAGTAACAAGTTGCGAGTTATCAGAAAGTTTCCACCAGCTTCGGCAAGTGGAGGCCGGCTCAATGATTTCTTAAGCAACACAAAAAAAAAAAAAATAAATAAAAGCAATGGAAACAAATCCATTCCTGTGAACCCAAAGTTTTCAAGACTTTCAATGATTCCAATTTGAGGCAATTGAAAGTTGCAACGCAACTTGGGAAATTATTAGGCCGTCTTTCGAAATATACACATGCTAAAAAGCCTAATTCGACATATTGAAGTCATTTGTGGCAGCTTGCCTTTGACCTTTTGAATATCTTGTCTATTAATATCATATCTATTAAACTCTTTTTGATACTAAGCTGAAATATCCCCATGAACGCTTATGAACTGGAGAATATATTTAATAATCATTTCAACTGGTTCAACTACCTTGAGGACCCTGCCCGTGCATTTTGGCCCAGCTTAATAAATATCCAGTAAGGTCCTTGGAGATCGAAGAGAGCAGATTAGCCAAGTCGACAACTCGAAAACGTTTGGCGAGCAACGCCCTGGGAAACGGCAATCTCAATGTGCTGAGGTCCACAGAAAAGGCGGCATTTGAAATATTCGTGGGGGAGCAGTGATGATTATTGCACTCGAAACACGAGTGTCGTCTTGGCCAGCGATTCTGCTGACAGGCCAAATCGATGGGCGAAGTGTCTAAGTGATTTTTAAGCCTGATTCGAGTTATGGCCAAAGGCAACATACCGTTCTGTGGGGGTGTCGGGCTGTTGAGCTGTCGACATATTGGAAAGCTCAAGTATTGCTGATGTTTCAATTGCCAGTCGACTGTACATATATCCGTGTTGAATGCAGACATTTAGAAGATCTCTATCTGATTTGCAGTTAAACAAAAGCAAAAGCAAAGCGGCCAAAAAAACTCGCTGAACAGGCGACTTTGGCCGCTTGCATTTTATTGATAAAACTTTTGCCGGCTCTGAATTTAAAATATTTTAATTTAGTTTGGCTTTAGTTTTTCGGCACCAGTTGTTGTTCCTCCTGTTATCCTATCATATTTGCCATGGCCATTAGCTAAAAGGCGGCCAACCTTCAAAAAAAGAAACAAAAAAACAAAAAATGGAAAAAAGAAAACTGAAAACTGAAATAAAGCCACGAAATTTGCCTTTCGGTGAGGTCCTCTATCACATTTTTTTTCGCCCGAAAGGCAAGCAAATTAAACAAATTACCCCCCACACACATGTGGATCGGATCCGTGAGATACTTTTGCATGCAAGTCAAGTCGAAAAGAGGAGTTCTAAAAAGCGTTCAGAAAAAGCGTTACAATTCGCTTTCCACTTTTTGTGCATTTTTCTTCAAAAATCCTTTTGGACGAGCCTTGTGTGCTTCATTATCATTATTTGAGTCCGTTTCTCTGTCTCTTTCCTTGAGCACATAATTGCCAAGAGAAATAAAAAAGTTTCCGCTTTGTTTTGCACAAAACTTTTGCATTTCCGTTGTTATGAAACTTGAGCGCGTCCAAAAAAAGAAAAAAAAAGAAGGGAAAGATATGGCAGTGAGTGCCAGAAATGAGTGAAAAAAATTGGCCGAAAAAGAAAGAATAGGGCCGACAACAATCTTTTCGTGTGAGTTAAATTGCAAAATATGATGGCCGGCGCCTGGCACCACTTCACACAGGGCTAAAAAAGAAGACGAGGGGCAAACCGGTGGATTCCAGAAAGGTGTCGTCCTGTAGGTGGCTAATTAGATAACACTGGGCCTAATTTGACGCTGCCACGCCCACCTTTTTCTGTACGCCCTTGCTTTTCACTTGTTTTTCCTTTGCGGACACACACACACACACACACACAGGACACCTCGTTTGATTATTGTGTCAAAGTCCTGCCACTTGTTTTCTTTGCTCTTTTACCCAGTTTTAGTCCGTGTTTGCCATGCCCTGATTTGCTTTGGCCATTTGTGCCGCATTTCATTTAGAACTCTAATCACACATTATTTTCCCAAAATCGTTTTCCTTTTTTTCGGATGCTTAGTCAAGCGAGGCTGCAGTTTAGTTGCAGAGCGCGAGTGGGAACACATCTCTGACGTCTCTTTTTCAATACAGCAGTCACAGTTTACTACACTTAATAATAAAGTGAAAAAACGCACTTTTCAGAAGTGAATGCGTTGCGTCTTCCTACCTACAATCTGCATGCCTAATTTTAATCAAAACTTTCAAGCCTTAATGGTTCCCGAGATCAAAGCCTTCAAACAGAAAAACGGACATACGGACAAGCAAACGGACGGACAGACAAACTTGACTTGGTTCGCTAACCTGATTAGTAACTTATATTCTTGTTAGGGGCGGTAGTAGTAACGAAGAAAGTCGCACAAGCTATGCATATATTATTGAGAAACGATCTCCAGTCATCCGCTTTTTTAAAGAGTTCCCAACAAATCAAAATTTCACCATAATCTTGGTGAAAGCAAACCCCTAATGGCTGGGCAAAACTTTATAAATAATTAATGTAGCTGAATAATACAGTCTAAAACATCTGTAGAATTGATGGAATTTTAGATACTCAATATTTTATTGTCGTTAAAAACAGATATCGTCTTCCAGCCTGGAAATTAACATACATATGTGCTGGTGTTACCTCTTTGGAAACATCATTTGGTTGTAGGGACTACATATGTATCTCTACATATTAGTGCTCACGATAGTTGTAGTATTCTACAGATCCATTCAGGGTCAGCGTGACTTTCCTCTGGACAATGAAGCTCAGCTGGAGGGCGTACTCGCCGGTTTCTATAGGAAAGCGAACACGGAACTTTTCGATATCGAACTCGAGGTCGGTACACTTAATTAAATGACCTTTCTGAAACATGAGGGTAGATGGTAAACGGCTATTGGTTTTCTGATACTAAAGGGCATTTACCTTGAACGGGCAAGTGTAATTCGTCATTGGGATGTACGGTTTGAGATATTCGTACCCGAGGCTCACGATCACATTGTTTCTTTTGGATAGGAAATCGCACAGATTAAATGAAATATTGTACAAAAAAGGACGCCAGCCGTTGGCTCGTTTAAAAAGCTCCAAACGCATCTAATCAAAGACACATAGATATCAAAGTCGTTGCGAAAGTGGGCAAAAGTTTCACTAACATGGACATTATTGACGGTTCTCAACTGCCTGAATTGAATACTTAACGAGTTCCTGTACCGATTGATGGCCTTGATTTTGCACAGCAAAATTTCGCCATAGGACTTGTCGTAGTTAGTACAGTGAAGACTCTTGAACTTGGTCTCCACCTGCAGAGGTGTCAGGAGAGCCAGGACGAAGATCAGAACTGCTAACATGACTTCTAGGTGCCGAATGGAGAACTGAACTGGCGTGAGCATCGAGGCGCGATTATATCATGTTTTAGTCGCCGGATTTATATCAGATAGTCGCCGGATTCACTTAAATGAACCTTATAATCAACCCGTTAAATTGGTTGTTGAGTGAAACATAAAAATGACACACAAAAGTGGAAACATTTGATAAATACTTATCAAGTATTCGTTACTAGTTAACAAAAATTCTTTTAGATTAACCAAAAATTTACATGCTTACAGCTAGGAAAAAGAGCGCACTCCTTAGTCGAGTTCCTCGACTATCAGATACCCGTTACTCAACTAGGAGTGCGAACGAGAAATTACAACATTTCCTGGAGTATTGGTAAAAATTGATGGAAAAAAATATTAAATGAAATGAATCCACTCCGCTATTGATTCTGAATATATATGTAAACTTTTATATACTTTCATACGAATCTAGTATACCCTTTTACTCTGCTGGGAACACGTATAAAAAGATCTAGAATTCCCTTATCGGCAAAATAAATTCATTCTCGTTTATAAGGGAACCAAAGCTTTGAAATATAGCATTCAATGAAGTGAAACCCAATTTTTAACCACCCACGATTTAGCAAAATTAAATAGTTAAAATCTAAAATGTATATTGGTCGAGCCAGAAAAAAAACTTCAAATGGAAAAAACGATGGTATAAATCCATTTTTTTGTATATTCTTTGTATACTTTGATAAAACTGATTACTTTGACTTATTTAACTGATGCTTGCATTTAAATAATTGTTAGGAAGGACTCGTAGGACTTGAAATATTACCATTTTATTTACATCCATCTCTGACACGAATTAGACACAAATAATTAGTGGAAGCAAAGGAAGTTGTTAAGCGGATGAAATCGCTTATTATAATAATTATTTTTTAACGAGCTTTTGTTCAGATTGGGATTCAAATAACTAAATTGCTGAATAGTTAAAAAACGTTCGCTTTTAGCATTTGAGCAAATTGAAGTTGTTTTTATTACATTTACACCATTGTTAGCATGTAAATGTGCTTCACGTTTTACAATTGACCCCATTTCAGAAAGGCTTCTAACTTTTTGAGCGCTTTGTCGCTTTCATTTTAAGCTGGAGTAATATTGAAATTCTTCCATGAAATACTTCTATCAATAACCCAAATATTAGCCTAATATTAAAATCCCTCCAAAATATATGTTTATAATGACAAATATATGAAATAAACCACGCGGATTGTGGCGTGTGTTGCAGCTGCATCCGTGTCCATGTGGCATAGTTGCGCTTCAGGTTTGATTAAAAATTCCAGCGCCAACTTGACTGCCCACCGGAAGGTGTGCGAAGGCTTTCCAGGCACGTGCACATTCCTCACCAGCCCCTCCTTGGATGCATTATCGTCGTGCTTCCCGGATTTTGTTATTGTTTTGGTTCCGCCGGCCTTTTGGGGTAGGACCAAGTGGAGCCGACCACGAGCCTCTCCGCTTTTGGTGGGCGGCTGGGCGTCTGGGCGGCGGCAGGGGGTTAATCTATTGCGCAGGTCTCTAACGGTCGGGAACAACCCCTAAATATTGTTGTGCAATAGAAGTGTGTAGGTGCCGTTGGTGGACCAACCCACACAGCTCTTGGCATTCCGCCGAAATTAGGCTAATGTCGCTGGTTAATGGCTTATTTGCCGGCTGGAAATGGGCTCAATTCAAAACGTCAACTATTTTAAGCTTGGCTTAACGGATTGCACATTGCTTTCAAGCTAAGCTGCAGCTTGTTAGCTGAATACGTTGCTGAAGGCACAGACCTTGCCGCCCACATGCTCGGTATTTTGGGACCTATGCCCCGGTGCCACCCCTACTGAATCCATCATCTCGCCGACCCTCTCGCTCGCTCTTGCTTAGGCTTAAAGCTGCTGGCAGCCGACGAATCCGGGCCCAAATGCAATAACTCGGCCCGAACGGCAGGACTCGGCTCCTGTCGGCGAGCCGAATGTCCTTGCCAGCCGCTGCCAGTTGCCAGCTCCCAGACGTCCGCTTTCAGTTTTCAGTTTTCAGACCTTGGCCAAGCGGTTCGGACGTGGCTCTACTCTTGGCCCTGCGCGAAAAAGCCAGATACGTTACGTACCGCATCTACGTACATCGCCATGCTTACGTGAGGATGGCCCTTCATCCAGTAGTTGGCCATGCATCGGCATTAAGTGTCCACAGAGTGGTTGATCTGGCTATAAGGTTTACACAAACATGATTTAATCGGGAGAGTTCGCTCGCTGAATCTTCCAATTTCCCTCAATTTGTTTATGTAATTTGTTTACACTTCACTCAAGCCCCTTCGGCTCTGTTTGTTGTTTGCTTTCCGTTCTGGTTGTTGTTTCTTTCGATGTTGTGTGGTGTACTTAATTGGTGTACTTAAGATCTCTGGACCATAGTTGATATGTATATGTATATTCCCAATATGTGTTTTATGTGTACTTGATGTTTATTTATGTAGTGATTTATTGGTTGAATGCCGTTGTTAATTGGTGTTTTAATGCAAACAGTCCTATTTGTATGGCATATATTTTAAGGAAAATTAAGATAAGCATTGTTTTTGATATAGCACCGACCAAATGTGAATCACGAAATTCTTGGACCTTGCTTAGGGACACGAGACTAGAGCTTATCTGAGTCTAGTTTTCAGCTGGCAGCTGTCACTTGATAACCCGGATAAATATATGCATTTTTTGAAATTGGCCATGCTCACTCACTTAGGCGACTTAGGCAACTTGTTTAAGGTTAAACTTTGGCTCAAGGTTCAGCTTGTCAGCGATGGAAATTAAAAAAAGAACAAATTACGCACAAATTACGTTTAAGTAAGCTTACATACAAACATAAATGCCCAACCATTTGCATAGTTGGTTCGGTTGTCCAGGAAATTCGTGAAATTTCAGTGCCGCTTGTTTTGAGATTTGTGTTGACACACGACTCGAGATGCACAGTAGGAGATGTCGAGATAGGCGGCCTACCTTATCAGCATCACGGAGTGACATTATCAACCCGAACTAAGCCTAAAATCTACTGCCCCCACTAATTTATGGCTGAGAAAAATATAATACAACTTACAAATCTAACGACAAAATTGTAGGAAATAATCCGCTGCGGTCGGTCCATTCAGTCAACTCTCGTATCCCCAAGCGATCAGACGCTCCAAGGGCGGGCCAAAAACGATATCCGGACATATAGTACATATAGTATATAGTGTTTACAGTGATCAGTGATCGGTGATCTGTGATCGGTGAACAGTTAACTTGTCGAGCCATGGCGGGCTACAGATCGCTGCCCTTGGCTCCGGTGGCAGCAACGGCGGCAGTGCAGCCGACGATGGGAGGAGTAGGAGTGCCGCCCACGATGGCCGCCTATGCGCACCACCAATCGATGACGGCGATGTCGAACAACGGTATTATCTATCAGTCGGCGGTGCACGCCTCCATTCACAGCCTCAATACGGTCCAGAGCCAGCACCGATCCTCAACCACCACCCATCATCACATTCTAGCCACGGCAACAGCAACGGCGACTGCAACGGCGGCGGCTGCAGCTGCAACAGCAACAGCTGCCGCGGCGGCAGCTGCAGCAGTGGTGGCCCTGCCGACGGCATCAGCAGCAGCCGCAGCGCCGCAGCAGCACGCGGCCTACGGACAGCAGCAGCAGCAGCAGCAGCCGCAGCAGCATCTCCAGCAGCAGCAGCAACATCTTGGCCAGCACCACCAGCAACATCCGCAGCAACACGCGCAGCAGCAGCAGCAACTGATGACCCATCAGCAGCACGCTGTGGCGCAGCAGCAACACCATCACCTGCAGCAGCAGCAGCAGCAGCAGCATCTTCAGCAGCAGCAGCAGCACCACCACCACCATCACCACCACCACCATCAGCAGTTGTCGCTGCACCAGAACCACCTGTACTTCAGCGGTGCCAGTTTGGGTCACCACCATCACCATCGGCAGATCTTCAGTCATCTGCAGAGCGCCCTAATGCCTCTGAGTGTCAGTAAGTATGCCGCCCCGAGGCCCCCCAAAAGGGGCGTGGCAGGTGCAGTTCTATGGTGAGGGATCGAAAAATAAGGTTGGAATACGTCTGCAGATTTAGTGGCTTTTGCAGTTGGTAAAGAGGAGTGAAAATATTCAACTTGGGCACCTATTTCATTTAACTGACTTTTAAAAACCAAAAAAGATCTTTCCAAATCAAATACAACTTTATTGAACTAGAAATCTTCTTTACCAACTGGCAAAAACCATGAGTCTGATGTGTTTTTGGTGTCGCATGAGTGTCCTTATAGAGTGTTTTTACTATCGATGTTGTGCTTATTTATCATATTCATAACTAAGTATATCTGTGTGTGTATAATATGCCTCACTAACGATATCATTGTTATCCTAAATGTTGTTTCCGTGTATTCTTCTATGTAGTATAACGATTTAAATCTACTTACATATTATTACTTCACCTTTTGTATTTGCTGAACTTTGAGTTTCATATTTTCAATTGTGCTTGGGTTTCTTCAATCGTGGGACGGGGATACCATGGAATTTAAATCTAAGTCAATTTGACTTTAAACAACCTCTTCGATTTCGATTTTCACTTAAGTGACACACACCCCTTTGCGAGAACCAACACTCTTGGGGGAGCCGAGAACATGGATTTTAGCATTTTCTGAACATTTCATTAAATTTTATGTCATATCTTCCTGGGCAATAATTCGCACGCCATTCCAGAGACGCGTGCACGGGTGGCTCGCGCATATGTTGACAGTCGTTTATTGTTTGCAAAGGACACCCAGCACACTCACACACACACACTCACACACACGGAAGCACACAAGGATGTGTCTGCATGCATGTGTGTGCGCCGCAACCAGTTACAGTTACAGTTACAGTTACCTATAACGAGGCTCGCACGCCTAAAACCTAAACTACAGACAATTGAAACAAAAGGCCGCCGAAAGAAGGCCCAAAGGAAAGGCTTTCACCTTACCTTTCCCCCCACTGGCGTGTGTGTGTGTTTGTGTTTTTATTGTGCGTGTGTGAGTGTGTGTGGGCAACAATGGAAAATATGCCCAACATTCGGCGTCTTTTTTCCATTCAGTGCGATGGGCCCTCAGCTTTTGTGCTGGCTTAGTTTTTTGTCACCTCACCTGTCCCTTTTCCTTGTCTTTTGTTGCACATTGTGAAATATGTCAGCAATTGTTGCAACTTTCGTTGTTTTCCCTATGGTTTCCCTTATTGTTGTTGCCGTGTGGCCATTGTCACATTAGATTTTGTTGCTGCCCGGCGGCCGCTTAACTTTATTATTTTAACTTAATGGCGTTTTAAGTGTTTTTTATGAGATGGCAAAACAATGGCACCGTCGAGTGCACAAGTGTGAGTGGGCGTGGCAGCACTCGTTTGCAAGTAAACATTTCACACACCAACGCACACGCACACATGGACACTCCGTTTATGAGTAGCTTCATTATGCGCTTCGTTTTTTGTAGCACACTTTTTGGGGTTGTGAAAAACCAACAAGTGCGGGTGGGGCCATTGTTGTTCCCAGTCAATTGGATGGTTTTTGTGACACCCAGGAGTTCGTTGTCTTCTTTGCCAACTTAAAATCTTTAATAACACATGCCTCATTTGGCCAAGTAACTCATTTAAAGCTTGATATCTACTCGTGGCTTTGGAAAACATGCTCGATTATTTTTCCATTCAGAAACTAACTACTTTGTTTCCTTCTTAAGCCATTTAATTTTTACTATTCATCTCTTAAACAATTATGACAAGCGATGTTCAGAGTAAGATTTTCGCTAAAACCGACATTTCTGGTCTTTAGTGAATTGAGAAAACCAAAGTTCAGGCATCTCCTGTCTAATATATATGCATAAGGCCAGGGGAGTGTGAAAAAGTCGTAAAAAAGTGGATGAGCGGAAGGAGCTGGTGGAGCAAACTCGCAAGTTGACAAAATTTTTAATAAGCCACTTTGCTGTCCGCCTTTTGCATGCCAAAAAAGGCCACCAAAGAAATCCAGAAGTTGGCAGCTGTCAGGAAACACACACACACATACCCGTGCATGTGGGCAGGACACTTTTGATGGTGTGTGTGTGTGTGTGTGTGCCGGCCATCCCGGGGCGCAATAAAAAATTCAAAACTCTCGCTCACATTCGGATTTGGTCAGAAGATCACGTACTCAATAAATATTACTCAAGCTTCGAATGCTCGCACACAGTTGGCTACACTTGTTATCCTTTCGGCCAAGACCTAATGTCCTGCCGTTATAGGTTTCCCTTTAATTTCGCTGCCAGCTGGTGGGCGTTTGGGCCTTTGCTCATTTTTTCCATTTGATGTGCGCCTATTAATTTCGAGTTTGTTCCTTTTCCGCGACAGCAATTCAATTAGTTGTCCTTGGTTCAGGTCCTCTCCTGATCCGTCACGTAATATATTTGCTCATATTACTAAAAGCCACATAAATCGTGCCAAGGGCTTTGGATGAGCGCTTCTATTGCCCATTTAGCTCCAAGAGTTTGAAGCAGACTCCAAAAGGACCTTAAATTGCAGCAGCTGTATGTGTGTGTGTGTGTGTGTGTGTGTGTGCATGCGAGTCCTGTTGTTAGCCTGATCGATGGCCAAATGTTGACAAAACGCAGCCAGGTGGGGCCACTCCTTTTCGGGCATGTTTACAAGTGTCCTTTGCAGGGGCCGAAAAGTCGAAAAGTGTTTGCCAACGCCGAAATTCCAAGCAATTAAATCACTTTGATGCTAATTTGGATTAATATGTTGTTGCTGCTTCCGGTCTTGTGCCTATCCAATGGCAATTTGTTGCCTTTTCCAGGTAGCAACGCCCCACCTCTGTGTGCCCTCGATTAGAGGCCAAATAGATTTATTGAACAATGCATGCAACGTTGTTGCATGATGCTCCCATCCTGGCCGCCGCCCATCCGCCCCCCGTTCGTCCTGCGTTATTTATTTGGCTTATCGGTCGAAAGGGTTGCGCCTCTGGGCGGCAGGATGCGTTGCCGAAAATTGTGCTACATTCGGTCGTTTGTTTTTGGTTAGACAAACAGTTTTTGCCACATTCCCCACCTGCCCACTCGCTGTCTCTATTTGGCTTGCAAACCATATTAATTTTGTTAGATAAATATTAGTTTTTAGCTCAACCGGCAGTGGAGGATGGGGACTGACTGTGTGTCGATTTTATGTATTTTTAATGAACCATTGCCATTGCCGTCACCGGAGGCCATGTGTTTTTGGGGGTCCGTTTGGGCGGTGCCAATTTCATGGCACTTTAAATGTTTAATTTACAATTTATGTAAAAACCAAACCAAAAATAGCCACATAGAAATAACATTTTTTTTTTATCCGCCGGCCAGGGAAACGTATGTGTATCATGATAAATACCCGGCATTAAAATAAATTACACCTTTCTGGTGCCCCTGCACCTCTCGCTCCTTTAAATGTATCTAGAAAAAAGTGTTTTTTAATATACTCACAGAAAGCGGAAAATTGGGCAAACTTATACAAACGTTGCATGCAAGCCGAGGAGCCAGGAAAAAAACTGGGGAATGAATCCGGAAAAAATATGTGATATGAAGAGCCCCAATATTAATATAATTTGCAGGCAGCTTAACAGAGTGTCTCCCCTTATCCTTTGCCCTCCTGTCGGCAAATCAGACATCCTTTCAGTTTACCTTGCCGTTGTGCATTAAATTTATTCTTTCGCGGTTTCCACCAATAGGGGAAAACTGCACCTTGAAAGTAAACTGGCTAAGGCAACTTGAGTTGTACACGTGTGCAATATTAAATGAGTTCACATCTTATAGAGCAGTCAACATTTAGGAATCGTAAATATCCATACAAAGAGCACTAAATCCTTAGACTCTACGGCTGGGGCAGGAAAAGTAATGAAATCCGCACGTAATTGCATTGCCCGTAGACACAAAAGACGATGACGATTCGAGTTTGAGTTCGAGTTTGAGTTTGAGTTAGGACCCACCACACCATTACACCATTACTTAAGTTGCCCTCTGACCCAGCGTAACTGGTAAATAATTTATAACATTTTTGCAAACTTTTGTTTTGGCTTTGGCTTTTGTTTTTCACATTGTCTGTTTAGATTTCATTCATTAATAGGACTTTTATGACTTTCAGACCTGCCCGTTGTGGCCCCCATTTGTGCATTTTTATGTTAATCGCTGTTGTGTTCAGTGCGGTTGTGTTTCCTATGGCTTCTGCAAATATTCCTCATTTGAGGCGAAATTGCATTTTGCTGCTGCTTTTGGGCTAATTATTGTTTGGCCCCGTCGCGCCTGACATGCATATTTGCTGTTATGTGTCTTTTAATTGCTGTTCTTGGGCGAAATATGCAAAACTGGATGAGAAATGTTTCCTTGTAATGCCACAACGGCACTGAGCAAAATGCAAAGCGACTGTATGAGTGCCTTAGTCGTTGCCTTCTGCCAAAATGTGATTTTTATCAACCGCAACGTGTGGAGCAGTGTGTGTTTGTTTTGGGCTTGCTAACGCCATAAATCATCCGCACATCTGTCATTTGAGCGGACTTCGCCTGCTTCCAGCTACTTTATAAGTTTTGTATCTGCTAGGCAGTCGACTAAGTTTTGATGCTCCGAATTTTTGTGGAATATCATGGGTAATAAAGCTGCGTAAAGATACTCCTAACGGATGGGAATGGGGCTATGAACTGCGAATGCTTTTCACATTTCACATGGTCTATTTTATAATGGCTTAAACTACTTTTGGCTAGTTAATGGGTATTGATAAACACATTTCAACTGGGACCATGCTTGTTGATAGGCAAACTGACTGATCAAGAATATATATGTGGCATGGTTTTCAACTGGCATTATAAAAATACTACAATGTATCAAACTTATGCCCTTACTATGAGTAATAAACATCTTTCACCCAGCCGTGCTGAATTTGCCCCTGCCCGTTGACACATAAACAAATATTTGTGCCTACTATCGTGCACAACTTTTACTTTGCCCCACTCCTTGGCCATTTGCTCCAACCATGACGTCTGTTCTGGCCTTCTCCTCCACACACTCTATCTTCGACCAACGCTATTTAGTATTGGTTGGGAACGTCATCATGCGTTATCTGCAAAAATCCCTCCACGGCGATATTTATTTCCCCACTTCTGCGATAAAGAATTGCGTAGACATGGCCTATTCCATGGGCTCCATTTGGCAGTTGGTGTGCAGCTATTTCCGAGACACTTTAATGGGTTTTAATTGTGGCTAGAGTGTGTGACTGAACAAAAGTAATTTCACACTCGCTGACTTTTCGGCGACGTTGGCGGCCACGAAAGTGCAAAACAAATTGTTCTCTTGCATGTTTTATACTTCTAGGCCCAAATAAACTGCAACTGACCGGGCACACACCGACATGCCTAGCTACCTGGTATTTTTTGGTGAGATATTTATTAGCCACAATTTGGCAGGCAGCTCAAATTGGCAGCTCTCGGGTTCATAAAACGCGAATTTATTATTTATATCAACTCTTTTGTGCTATTTGCCATGTCAATTCGAGGAACATGGCCCGTGGCCCATGGACATCCGAGCATTTATCCAGTCACCTTCCCCAGAGCTCGCCGGCTGCTGTTTAAATTCCTCGGCCAAATTATGAGAAAATCTTGTGTACCAAAGCGCATTTGTCACAATTAAGCGGCGGTTAAAACTGCGAAGGGGGCTCCCCTGCACCCGACACCCCCTTAAAGTTGTAATAATGCAAAACCGCCGAAAAGGCGGAAAAAATGGGAAAAGGGGGCAAACTTCTGCCACGTTGACGTTGCCATCGACATTGGCGACATGGGACCGAGGTCCTCTCACCTGCGATTTACCTTCTTTTTTGGCAGTCCCGGCTGCTGGGCCTTCGGTTTTTATTATTTTTTGGCCCAGCTCCTTTTTGCTTTTTGTGGCAGTCTATTATGATGGCGGGCAACGTCAGTTTCTGAAGCTCTTCGCCATGAAATATGCAGAGAGCAGTTAAAAAACTTTTTATTTGTATTAATCAAACAGAGTTATGCCCTCCCCCCGCACAGCCCGCACTTTTGACAACAATGGCAGCAACTGCATTATAAATAGGTGCAAGGACTGTCTGGAAGGGGCAAGGTGCTGTGATTGTTTCGACATTTTTGACAATTATCGCTCCAGCGTATTTCAATGACTGGGGGTTTTCTTGGGGGGCTGGTACTGGGAGGGATTGGGTGCCCAAGGCAGCGATGACAAATTAGTTTGGCCATAAAACTGGAGAGTGCGATCAAAGCAAACAGCTTGTCGCCAGTCCCACCCACTTGCACCCCACCACCCACCGGCTTACCGTCTGCTTTTCCGAGCGTGTGTCCTCTGCCAAAACGTGCGCCATATAAAAATCGCATAAACAACTTCAACTGCCACTACAACAACGCCCTGAAAAAGTAACTACATCAACGTCATCATTGCGACTGAAGTGTGACGAGGGGCTGGGCAAGTCCTTGGTTCGTCAGGGATGCGTGCGTGATTTTAAAGGATTTTTGCGACGCTTACCGAGGGCTTTTCAGTACTATTTGCTTGCTGTGTAGAGCAGAGTCACAGCAGATTTTCAGCTATGCGTGCAACGCTGCTGCCTTCGTCACTACGCGAACTGCTGTCCACAGTGGTTCCTTACTCAAGCGACTAAGCTGGACTTTGGGAGTGAAAGTTCTGGCAACTGGGCTTCTACCAGATAATACAGTATATAACGATCTGGTCTTCCTGATTGAAGCTCTAAAGATGACTACATTACTCGATCATCATATGAGCGGCACATCCCTGGTCGTGTGGTCTCACCTCTTCGGGGGGCAGAGGCACAACTACCCCACGCACCCCCAAGTGCCGCCCCTTCCGACATTTCCCCCCGTCTGGCATTTGCAATTTGGCAACACATTTTGGTTACGCGGCCTTTGCCGGCGAAATGGCAAACTGGCAACTGGCAACTGGCAAAGCGAAGTCGCTGCGCTCCGAGCACTTTATATAAATTGTGGACAAATACTTTTTATGGCTCTTCGAGTGCAACCTATTGGCTCTTTGATATACGACAAGTGGGGGGACGGGGGGTGGGATGTCGCGTAGATGTCCGCTTTTATTACACATTTTGCTAAATTACAGTTTGGCCGCAAAGTTTATTTAGCCTCGCGAGTTGCGTGGCATTTTAATAAACCGAAAGTTGGTTCGATTTACGTTGCAAGCTCCATTAAGTGTGGGTAATTATTCAATGACTCAAAGCCGAAACTGAAAACTTTGCCACGCATTCTGCCCAGCTAATGCTGAAGATTGGATTTGATAAATGGAGAAGTGCAGCAACTCGTTTATTAATGTCGACATTATAGGATTTCTTTCCCCTTTTTTTGTACGAGTATACAACGCATAAACTATAAATCATCGCTCTAAACTGATTTACATTTTTGTCGCATTTATGAATGTCCGACAGTTGCACCTGTTGGGTGTCGGGTCGGAAAAGTGGGCTGGGCTTTTCCGGAGTGGGCTGCAGAGTGCCAGAGCTGGCAGAGATATGCGAAATTGATTTCCCGACTTGCGCTTTCGGTGCACTTAACATCTATTTTTCCTTCTACCCCCACGTTTTCCAGATGGCGAACCCATCAAGCTGCCCGACAATTTGGAGAGCCTGCCAAGAGCCGACAGTTTTCCATCACAGCGTCATCGTTGGAATACAAATGAGGTCAGTTTTAGTTCTAAGTTGGCATTTCTGTTTGCATTTTCCGGCACTGTTTCGTGTTTGAGTTTGCGTTTGTGTTTCTATTTGCATTTGATTGCACATAAAATTGTCGAAACGGGGAAGTCAAGTGAAAGCCAAAGGAAGTCGACGACTTCAGCCGTGGGCCATGGGTCCTGGCCAGTTGACAGGCGGATGAGCCTGCCAGTCCTCCGCCAGGACACTTTGACAGCCTTCGACGACGGCTCCTCCTTGGCGGGCACACACTTGCGAGCTCCTATATGCAGATTAACGAGATGGCGGTCAGTCCATTAGGAAGGACCTCGCGACGTTTTTATTGCGCCACAAACTATAATGCAAACACCAGTAAAACTAGAACTTTAGATGTGTGCTCGGGGAGCCGCTTTTAAAAACCTGGCCACGCGTCGCTGAAAAGTTGTTATTTTTATTTTTTAACCCGCGGATACAGTTTGGTTTGCAATAAAAGTTTTCGCTCGCGGGAAATGAGCGGGAAAACACAAAAACGGGGAAAATTCTTTGCAATGAGCTTGGCTTGTTGTTTTACTTGTGAATTAAGCGCAACCGCAAATATTCATTTGGACAGTTGTAAAGTTTGGGGCTCGTGGGGTTTTTTCTCTTTTTTTGTATCTGGTTCCGGGGACTTCACGGTTAGCAGATTTTACACTCACTAAAGTTACACGGTTGACTAAATGAAAGTGACTTACACTTGTAAGCCAGTGTTACCAATATTATTTTTAACAATATAATAATTTGGAATTGCTTAAGAAACATTATTCAAAGATAAAGGCAACACAAAGCATTTCCAGGGCTTAATGAATTTAATTCACGCCCCGTAAGGGCATCTCATAGTTGATTAAAACACGGTTTGCCCACCGAAGAGCAAGGAAGTCAGGGTCCAGCGGCAGGACTTGTGGACTGAACTCCCTCCTGCCGCACCGGGATGCAAAAATTACAAAATGTGGCCGTGCACGGGGCATAAATAAAATTACGCACGCTTATTTTAGTCTGCTTACAGGAAAAACGGGGCAGATGGGGCAGTGGCTGGAAAAGCGGCAGGATGACCCCACTCGAACCAGCGACTGTCGCTTTAACCACACGGTTTTAATTTGGCATTTAAGCAGTAGCCGGGGGCCAGAACTCTCGACCCGGCTCATAAAGCAACTGCAAAATAATAGCAACAACAGCAGCAGAAACACAAAAAGCAAAAAGCCGACCGTGTGTGGTTGCAAAAGGGCGCAGCTTAAAAATCAAAAAGTTAAATTGATAATGAGTCGCAATTTTATGTTTACTTCTTCCGCCCCATTCGCTTTCTGGGTGACCCGAAGTGGTCCTTCTGCGTTTGGTCAGCCAAGAGGAGCACTTGACTGGCTTGGACTTGGGTTGGAAACCTAGTCACACTCTTTAGGATTTCAACTATGCCATAATTAATAAGCAACTGTAGCATTTCGTTCGCATAAAAGTCTGCCATCCATGTTCCAATATGATGGATGCAACGTTTGCCCATTTCTGCGGAGAAAGTGTTGAAGCAACATTTGACTAGGGCCACGCCCATGGCCAAAAAATGGCGGGCTATGCGCTGAGGTGGGCATAAATTCTTAATGCCCCGCCCATCGCAGTATGTGCCTGGAATTCATCATGGGGCGAGAAAGGAGTTTGGAGTTTGGAGTAGGTCGCTCGAGTAGCTGGAGCCATGCATAAGTAAGCAACAGCCATCCATCCATCCATATATGTATCTATCTATCTTTCCATATGTCCCACCACATCCTCCACATGCTCTTCAGCGGCGGCGGAAGAGCCCAGTCAGGGGCAATTTTGGCCAAAATGCAAACGTTTGCCACTTGACAAACACGCGCCTGTGATTTGCCCAGTCTCCTCCTTCGATCCCGATATACAATTTTTATGACACTCGCAAATGCTGCGATATCTCGCCCGAAACCGGAGGCACATGGCGAATGTTTGGCTGCACACAGCTGAGGATGCTGGGAATGGATGGGCACTTTGCATTATTCATGCAACGTCAAGGAAGCAAACAAATTGATAACTTTATCGGCAAAACATGCTATGGAATGTCTAAATCCGTTGAATTCCCTCTGAACTTTCGCTGACTGTTGTGTGATTTGCATGCGAATCGCCTTCCACTGTCTAAATCTTGAGCTCTGGCGTTTTTAAGATTTTATATTCCTTGGTGACAGAGCATTTCAAGTATGCACACAAATTGCACTCGGGATGCGTCTGTGCTGGCGCTTGGCCACCTGGTTAAGTGTCAACTGCCGGCGACACCTGTAAATTGTGGTTAACACAGGACCACCATTTCGGTGGCCGTGTCCGCTTTGCGGTCAAATGAAATTTCTAAAATGTTTTCCTTTGTTTTATGGCGCAGAAATGCCTCCTCTCCAGCTTTTGGCGGCGGAAATGCCGCGAGTTTCGTGACTGGGCAGCGGATCCGTTGCCCATTAAGTCCGGAAATTGTTAGCACGTTAGTTAAGGTCAGTTAGCCAAGTTAGCGGGTGAACGGGTGAACTGGGGACCCCGAGAAGTGACGGAGTGACGGAGTGGTGGAGTGACGGGGAAATAACTTTGCCAGTGTCGCAGCGAAAGTAGGAGCGCTGTGAAGGCCACTTGCGTATCTGTGAATTCCTTCGTTGAGATGTTTTTCATATGCAAATATCACAGATATATTGTACAGACTTTGTTTGCATATTCCAGGAAATCGCTGCGATTCTTATCAGCTTTGATAAGCATGGCGAGTGGCAGTCCAAAGAGGTTCGAACCAGGTGAGTAATAACACGAAACACGTTTTCTAATCTGGTTATAAATCTAAGGAAAATCAATTACAGACCCAAAAGCGGATCGCTCTTGCTCTACTCGAGGAAGAAGGTGCGCTACAGACGCGATGGTTACTGCTGGAAGAAGCGCAAGGACGGCAAGACGACGCGCGAGGATCACATGAAACTGAAAGTACAAGGCACTGAGGTGAGTCGGAGGAACAGCTCTTCAGCCAGGACACTGACTTGCTGGGCATTCCTTGCACAATTAGGCAATTAGCCGGAATCGTTTTCCAGCTATTGCCATCATTTGTCAAGGGTTAAAAAAGTGTCTTCCATTCCGCGGACTTCCTGGGAGTTCCCTGTTTTCGTTTCTTTGCAGCTTCGTTCTTGACCGTGTGGGGTTCCTCTGGGTGAGTTATGATTTCCCGCCGGAAGTTGACAGAAACTCTGGGTCCCTGGGAGCAATTCGTCTGCGGCAAGTGTTTGCTTAAGGATGTGTACTTCGCCGCCTTTGCCTGCTAATGAAATAAGTCTTGCCAAGGGTTAAGCTTATTTATAATGTCTGTCTGTCGGAGAATCCATCCCCGCGGCCAAGCCATTACAGAAACATAAAAACATTTGGCAATTTCACGCCAATTTTTTGCACACTTCCTCGGGCGCTTGTTCTTGTTTTTGTTTCTATTTTAATTTTTATTTTAATACGTTCGCAAGTAAACGTGGCCGGCGAAGATTTATGCAGTTGGCAGTGCCGGCGGGGTGCCGTCTTCTTACATGATAACTGGGCCCAAACGAGGCAGATAGTACAAAGGAAATGCCATGGCGAAGCAGAAGAAGTCAGCGGCATATCGCGGCCAACGAGAGCCAACAAATTTATCAGCGGGTAGAAGTTCTCAAAAAAAATATATATATTTATACATATATAAACTATGCTAGAAAAAGGGGGAAAAACTGTGAGGAACAAGAAAAATGCGCAACGAAATGTTTTATAAGACAGGCGGAACAACAAACCCTTTTCCTTGGCTCTTCCGCTTCGATTCGTTGGCTTTCGGTTTGAGTTTGAGTCCTGATTTTTGGCACTTACCAAGTCCAAGTGGCGCCCCCTAGCGTGGGCGGTTGGTAATTTAATTTGAACTCCACTTGCTCTTCGTTTTTATGTTTTCCAATTAAATGGATTTCTTCTCCACGGGGTAGAACGAGCTGCGTGTGGAGCCGAGTAGGAACTGCCCAAGTTTTAGTCCCTTTTTATGCTCTTGTTTGTGCCAGCCGAATTGATAAATTGAATTTCCCTCGATTTCTGCCCCCTCTTTTCCACAGTGCATCTATGGTTGTTATGTACACTCGGCCATATTGCCCACATTTCATCGCAGATGTTACTGGCTGTTGCAGGTAGGTTTGCCATCGCCTTGCCATCCCCTAACATATTTAAATCCTGGGAGCACATTGCTCCTTTGCTCATCCTTTCCGTGTAGAATCCGGACATTGTTTTGGTGCACTACCTGAATGTCCCATATCCGGATGATAATAAAATGGCCGTGATTGCGCCCAGTATCACGCTTTGGGGCGATAAAAAGGAGTGGACCAAGGAGGAGCTGGTCAGCCAGCTCAAGCCCATGCGTAAGTATAGATTTGAAGAATATAGTATTCAATTTATAATACTCTTAAAACTGCTATGAACAGGCCCTTTGGAAAGTTGCAAAAATCCGTTCATTTTGTTGGTCTTAATTTTTTAAGATAGCTATTAGCAGAAAACAAGTTTCTGTATCTAAAATCTAAAGAAGAAAGAACCTAATTATTGAAGCTAACTCACACAATTTTCAGTGTCCACAATTAACTCTGATGACGACTCCGACTCGGGCAACGATATAGAAATATCAGTAAGTCTAGAAGAGATTAAGTCGTAGCGCAATTTGAAATGCACTTTGTTCCTTTAGACGGCGGAGACGGTGGAGTCCATAGTGTGCCAGCTGATGGAGAAGCAGAGGCTGTCGCGCCAGGCTGCCTTGGTCAAGCAGCTGGACTGCGGGTGCGGGGATGGAGGATGTGTGGACGGCAAGACCTGCACGCATCCCGTGATGCGCCGGTCGGCCGCCATGCTGAAGTCCTCGGTGCAGGAGAAACGGCTGGGCGAGCCCTTCAACAGCAACACGCCCAACGTGGTGGTGGCCAGCAAGCTCTACTCCCGATGGGCGGAGCGGCCAAGACAGCACGTGGACAATCACGGCCAGTTCCACAACGTCACGCAGCAGTTGCCGCAGGAGTCGGCCATTAAGTTTCAGATCATTCCGCCGCAGCAGCAGCAGCAGCAGGATGGGAACTACCTGCAGCAGCAGCAGCAGCAGCAGTATCGGGGTGCAAGTCATATGCTCGCCGCAAGGAGTAATCTGGTGATGCAGCAACAGCAGCAGCAGCAGCAGCAACACCAGCAGCTGCAGCAATACCAGCAGCACCAGCAACAGCAGCAGCAGCAGCAGCACTTGAGCCTACAGCGATTTGTTGCCAGTCAGGGCCAGAATTCGGTGCATCTCAATCAGCAGCACAGGCTGCAAATAGCCAATACAACGATCACAGCCACAGCCAGAGATCCTGCGGCGTCTTCAGCAGCGGCAGCCTCAGGAGCAGCAGCAGTCGCCTCGAATATTATGGACACCGAACTAATTGAAAACCAAAACCACATGACCGCAAACAAAATCACAAACTCCGGCAGCAGCAATGGCAGTAGCAGCAATGCCAGCAAGCAATTAGCAGCCCAAACAAACAACGAATTAAATATCGTAAATAATAACGACCCCGGCAACAATAACTTTATGTACAATCAACAGCAGCAACTTAATGCTTCCAGCAACAGCAACAACAGCAGCCAGCAGCAGCAGCAGCAGCAACATTATTATAAATTGCAGCAGACAACAGCAACCCCAACTAGTGGTCAGCCGCCTCCTCTGGCGCAAGTTCAACCCCACTCCTTGGCCCAACCTCCCGTGGAAGCCATGTGCATGTCACCCGAGCATCGCAGCAGCAGCCAGGCCACACCTGCAACGTCTTCCGCTGGCAGCCTCCCCTCCTCCGTATCCGTATCCATATCCGTGTCGACATCCACATCCACACCCACAGCCACTCCCACTCCCACTCCCACGTCCATATCCACGCCCACGTCGGGCACTTCGTCCACTTCGAGTTCCTTACAATCGATTATCGATGGCAATCAGCAGCAGCAAATTACAACGACGTCGACGGCAGCAACTTGTGATAATTTAATGAGCGCCAATGCGCTCTCCGAGGTGAGTGCAACCGCAAATCGCCTGCCATCATTGTGTTTATGTTGATTAAATTCAAACTTATTCAGCAGCAGGACAGCCACGCAGTCAACAATCAGGCCACAGAAGCGCCCAACAGGAGTCAGCTGCACCCGCAGCAGCAGCTGCAGCCGCAGCCGCAGGCGCAGCCGCTAACTCAATCCCTGAACCAAAATGGTTGTGCAACATACAGTGCTTCCAGTGATAACAGCAGCCAAATTAGTGACGAAAGCAGCAGCTTTGGCGGTAACAATCAAAACAGCAGCAACAGCAGCAGCAGCGAGGAGGAGCCCCAGGTGGAAACGCTGGGCTTTTTCAACGAGACCTTGGACCTATCCCACGAGGATATCCAGCGCACTTTGATAGCGAATATGCCATACAATACGACAGCAGCGGGCGCCACTGCACCAAGTACAACGATAACAACAGGCCACAGCAAACTGGAGCTGAGTCAACAGGAGCCGGAGAAGAAGCCCTCGATGAGAACGGAAGCCGGAACCGAGGCTGAGGAGGATGAAACCGACGATGTGTTTGCCAATCTGGATGCCTTCGATATGCTCGTGGAGTTTCCCGAACTGGATTTGGACGACAAGCAGGCCCTGAATAACACGGCGCTGGAGCAGGGCTCCTTCCTGAGAGAGACCGCACCAGCGCAGCCACGCAAGGTACACAACATATGCGACTTTAGTCCGGAATGGTCGTACACGGAGGGAGGCGTTAAGGTTTTGGTGGCCGGACCTTGGACGAGCTCGAATGGCGGCGCCTATACGGTGCTGTTTGATGCGCAGCCCGTACCCACGCAACTGGTCCAGGAAGGAGTGCTCCGCTGCTATTGTCCGGCCCACGAGGCCGGATTTGTGACTCTGCAGGTGGCTTGTGGCGGATTCCTTGTTTCCAACTCCGTCATGTTTGAGTACAAGCTGTCCCTGCTGGCGGATGCGCCATTCGATGCCACCAGCTCCAACGATTGCCTGTACAAGTTTACGCTGCTCAATCGCCTGTCCACCATTGACGAGAAACTGCAGGTGAAGACGGAGCACGAGCTCACGGTAAGTGCGATTGTTTTGGTTGTGCATTCATGCCATAACATAAGATCTCTTGGACTTACAGACCGACAACACTGCGCTCTGCCTGGAGCCAAACTTCGAAGAGAAGCTGGTAGCATATTGCCACAAGCTGATCAAGCACGCCTGGAGCATGCCCAGCACAGCCGCCTCATGGACGGTGGGATTACGTGGCATGACGCTGCTCCACTTGGCCGCCGCCTTGGGCTATGCCAAGCTGGTGGGCGCCATGCTCAATTGGCGTTCGGAAAATCCACATATCATTCTTGAGACCGAACTGGACGCCCTCAGCCAGGATGTCTACGGCTTTACTCCGCTCGCCTGGGCCTGTGTGCGTGGCCATGTAGAGTGCTCGCTGTTGCTCTACAAGTGGAACCACAATGCGCTGAAGATCAAGACGCAGGCACAGCAAACTCCTCTGGATTTGGCCAGCATGCGGGGCCACAAAAGCTTGCTGGCGCAGATGTATCGCTTGGAGAAGGAGCGCTGCCGCAAGCCGCAGCTGCGCGGAGGCTTGGCCAATCTATCCATGAACATGGGCGTGGAGGCGGAGGCGGAAGAACAGCACCAGAGCTTCAGCGCTTTCGATTTGGAGCTCCAGCGCAAGCATGATGGCGTTTTCCTGAGACCCGTCGCGGTGCACAGGTACGGAGCTCCCACTTTTCGATTTTCAGTAACTTGCTATATAGTTGTCACTTGCCCATCCGAACCCACAGCAATCAGAGTCCACCCAATAGTAGCAGTCGTTACTCCAAACGTTCCTCTATAGACAGTGGCATTAACATGGACATACGCAGCAAGTCTGGAAAGCCGCTGGCCAGGCTCCATAGGTGAGTTTGCAACCGAGTCGCAAAGGAGTTGCACTGACTTTATTTCCAATCTTTTAGCAACTTTGAGAGCCATGACAGCTATGCCTTGGGCGTTGATTCGCCGCTGGATTCGCTGACTGGAACCAACTGTCTTCTGTCGCCGCTGCGCAAGATGGACTTTGCCCTCTGTAAGTTTGGGGATCAGACTCTGCATGTTTCCAACTCCTAGTCATAGACTTTAACTTTAATGGATTGAACCAAATGCTCAAATTTTCTCGGTAAATTCAAACTAGGCGAGGTATCCACGGGCGAATCGAGTCCCGTGCACGACAAAGATTGCGACGACAATTCGACGAGCGCGACCGACGTGACCATTGGCAATGATTTGGCCCTGCCCGATGCCGTTGTAGGTCAGTGATGGCAGCCGGATGGAGCCCAGCTCCATTCAATCCAATCTCAAAGTGTCAACCCGTAACAAACTCACCCGTTATCTGTACTGTAGCTAATTACATACTAACCATGTGGGGAGGGCTCTCGATGTTGTTGATGTTGTGTTGCTATTGCTATTGCTGTTTGTTGTTATATGTAATCACGTATTTGGGGGGAAGCTCGTTTAATCAATGTAAATGTTCGTTATTAATATTGGTTGCTGGTTTAGCGCCCTAAATGGGCGCTTTTATCGATGTCTACACTTAACCGATTACTACTAATTTTAAACTAACAAACACTCGCCGCCTAATTAACCACGAATTGATCGTTGTAAATATAAACCCGAGGTGTATGTAAATAGCTAGCTAATCACCCCAACCACTAAAATCAATGCTTGTCGGTGTATAATACAAATAATAATTAGCCGTGTTCAGCGACTTCTATTATCGTGATCAATTTGGAGAGTCATAGACGTAGCTTTGTCAATTTAAGCTCCATTAGATCCTAACAGCTCTAATTGAGCTTAAAAAACAGAGAAAATATTCGATACTGTATATGTGTACATGAAAGTGTCCAACTCAATTATGTAGACTCGTTTGCCATGTATTTGTATGAGCAATTTGCTTGGAAATCATTCTGTAACGAGTTTGGTGCTCTTTCAGGGGACTCCGATGCCAAAGTTCTGACATTAGCTGAACACATAATAGCAGCCATGCCGGAGCGGATCAAGGTGAGCTGCTATCAACTGCTTTATTGAAGGCTCCTCTAATGTGACTTACTCCCTTAGAACGAAGCCGATGAAATGATGGTGCTGGGCAGTCCCTTGACAGAACCGCTCACATCAGAGTCTTCAGCGCTGACGGACAGCTTCATGGATCCCCTGCTCGATTCGCTGCCCAACACACATTTCGACAGCGACTTCAGCTTCGACTTCCATGACCACAGCTATCGCTATCACGACGTCAGCACGCCCTGCTCCAGCTTGAGTCCCGCCAGCTCGGGACCGCTGCAGTCCCCAGCCAGTTACTCCATTTTGGGCACCGATCCCTCAGTCAGCTCGCCCAGTCCCCCGCCATCCACCAAACAGTTGACGGAGTTTCTGCACGCCTCCAGCATCTCGTCCTATCCTTTCGAGGCGGATTTCTCCAAGCTAACCCTGACAGACACGGAGCAGCGAGAGCTCTACGAGGCTGCCAAGTGCATTCAGAAGGCCTATCGCTCGTACAAGGGTAGACAGAAGCTGGAGGAGCAGAACAAGGAACGGAGCGCCGCCACTGTAATCCAGAACTACTACAGGCGGTACAAGCAGTATGCCTATTACAGGCAGATGACCAACGCCGCCCTGGTGATTCAACATGGCTACCGCTCCTACAGACGAAACAAGCGATTCAAGAAGAGCGGCTTGTGCCTGAGCAGCTCCAGTGATCATGGAAGTGTGAGCAGCAATTCCCAGTGCCTGTCCAGCTTTTACGATCACTACAAACAGGATCAGCAGCAGCTTCACGAGATGGGCTCCCAGCCCAGCACGCCCAAGGAAACCAGCCCCTCGGGTCCCTTGAAGTGAGTCAGACCACTATGTAGTTTTGTAAAGGATGCACTTATCCAGTTAAATGAAATTTCACAGGCGCACCTACTCGCAGTCGACTCAAAATCAAGCTGCCCGGAAAATACAACAGTTTATGAGACAATCACGCATCAAGTAAGTACAACTAATTGATCCGACTAATTAATTGGAGGATTAATTGAACACTAAGCTAACTCATGGGTGATGTAATTGCACGCAAGCATTTGGGATGGCAATTTGGCGACTGTGGTAAGGCCGTGTGTATAGTTTGGTTCGTTTGTAGCTTTGAATTCCTTTACTGATTCGGTATACAGTTTTCAGTATTATTTTGCATTTCCTTCTTTTTTATTCTCGATTCTAATGCATTTTTTAACTCAACAGACTACAGAAAGAGCGAGCCGAAAAAGAGAAGCTGGTGCACCAACGCAGGGCGGAATACCTTCAAAACTTGCAGTTTCAAGGGCAGCAGGAAATGTTGGTGTGCCACGAAAATAGGTAGGCCAACTGACCATAGTTGTAATTTAATTATTCCAAACTAACATGTCCTTTTTTATAGCATTTCTGCGCCAAGCAGTGGCAACACCAATGCGAGCAACAACAACAATCTACACCAAATACAATCCAATCAGTGAGGGTCAACTGAGTGAATTTTTAACATAGGAACGGAACAAGCTGCGGTTCCTTAAGAATTTATGAATAGCTTTAACAACCGAGTGAAACTTTCTACTTTCGTATTTGCTCCGACTAGGAAACATAATCCCAAGCACCTCTGTAGTGAAACTTTGTTTCAAACTCTCTTTTACACAGACAACAGAAGATCTAAATTAGTAGCAAATACCTGCACTTTTATTAATTTGCCTAACGAATTTTAAGAATCACACATTGTTTTCGAAGTGAATGTGGCTTAGGCAAGCGGTCTTTTAAGATATTACTTAAACCTAAACTTAACTGAAGATCGGACTCCAACTCGAAAGAACTTATTACTGAAGCCTTTAAAAACTTTTTAACTCCAATTATAGTAAAAAAAGTAGCCTGCTATATATACATATTATATACATACAATTTAAACCAATATTACGCATGTGTATGCATCTATATAGTTACATTTGTATATAGATATTGCCTAACTAACTAAACTCTAGTCTATTTTAACGTACTACCAAGCTCTGCGATGCGACTAAGCTTGTCTCTAAAGCAAAATACAAAAATAACGAAAAACCTACAACATTAATCCTCGATACTAACTAGCTGCTAACTGCTCTTTAGGTTTAATCATAAGACTCCACTGAAAGTCCAAAGTTGTTGTTGATTTCTAAAATCAAATTCGTGTGGAGAGCGCAGCAGATACCGATTTATCATATTTCAAAGAAGTAAACCCTATTCTAATTTTCTAATACGGAAGTACTTAATTCGATAATGTGTACTAAGTCTTAACTTATCTGACTATACAGACTAAGCATAGCTAATAATAGTTTAAATCACAGGATGTGTGCATGGGCACACATCCAAATCAATGTGCAGTCAGCCAGCAAACTGATGAAAAGTATTGATACATGGAATTTCCGACTTTTTGCCGCTGCAAATCCATTACACCCGATTGATCGCGCCATTCAATCTTAACTGCTTGAAGACACAGCCAAAACACGAAAAGAAGCAAGAGAGAAAAGTTTTTAAACTAAATGTAACAATAAATGAATTTTTGTAAATTATTTTTGTCCGTCCACATTGTTAGCTTTCATAACATACCAACAAAAACATATATACTTACAAATATACATCATATATAATATAGAATGAGCCGATAACTCAATGCGAAAACTCAAGAAACAATTTTTAAAGGATCGTTCTAGTTCAAGTTAATAAACACTGGCAAATGGGCAAATGAAGGGCGATAGATGTACATAAACCAGCTCCAAAACTATGTCCTGCACGTAGGAATGGACACACTTACCTCTAGCAGTCCCAAACAACATAAAATAAAAACCCAAAAACCAAAAAACCAAACTCACAAAAACCCAAGTGCAAATAAAGCAACTTCAAGTGCGAGAGTGTAAAATCTGCGTATTACGATGTGCAAATGGGCTGTAAGTTAACTTTTACTCGACGAATGTTTGTCACAACAAAATGCGCAGCTGTTGAGTATGGGTGGGATTTAGATCTATCACATTGTTAACTATTAAACTACGAACTATTATACTTAATTCGCACTATTATTACTCTACGAATACGAAACTTTGATTGCATTTTGCTCTAACTAAACTATGTTTAAATCTGATCAACTGATTCGAAATAAAGACTAAATACGATTTCACTACTCAACTGACTTAAGAATTGCAATCAATTTTGTTAACTGTTTAGGCAGGGTGTTAGACATGTACCAGCTGAATACTAAATCCAATTAATTGCAATATTTGCACATACTACACACACAAGACACGCTCTGGCTCACAAAAAGGACACACAGACACACAATTTACAAACCTCAAAGTAGCAACCTGAGTGTGTTTTAATGGAATGGAGTCTTTTTAGATAGAGGGAGGCCAAAAGGCAAAGAAAACTTAAGTACCTTAAGCCAATTGGCACTAAAACAAAACTTAAATCTAACAAGCAATTATAAATACTTACAACAGACTATGTATCTATGTATATCGAAGTGGGTGTCTGCGAATGTAGGGCATTTCCCCCAACCTAGTTTTATTTGTACTTTTTCCCCTTCAACTGAACTAAATCTAATGCAACACCAAATTGTTGATATCTAACGAAACTATACAATAGGAAAACTATTATAGCTAATGTAATTGGATATTCGGTACTCACATATCTGTTAGATAATTTATACCTATCTTCGTCCTAATAGAACTTTTAAGTGCGGCGCATGTACGGAACAAGCATTCTTCTTCAACTTCAACTAGTTAACTAACCTACCATCCAACTTTGTCCCAAGAAATCAAAATTCAGCTACTTAAACTGTTTGTTTCCGACTTTCAGCTTAGTAGACCAGCAAAATAGGAACGGATATGAAACTGTTAACTAAACTTTTAAGCGAAATATACCTAGAGTGTAATCTTTTTAAATATTATACCTTACTTGTATGGGATACTTAGCATGAACTATACACATATATCGGAAAACTAAAGAATGTTTAACAAATCAACGTATTATATGTATATGTACAGACACAGACACTGATACACCCCAACCACATACAAAACATAGAGTTATATATATACATATATAATATATATAATTGTAAAACGACTTTCCAGTTTCTGTAAAATTGTAATTACATCCAATAAAGTTTAATTCAACACTTTAACTGGTCCTTGTGCGTTCCTGTGTTATCTTCCTTTCTTGTCGCCGTCCTGACACACCAATTAGTAATCAATTTGTCTAAGTGAGCCGCCAACCAGCTGGCGCCAGTCATTATCAATGAATTGTCCTTAACGCTAACCCTATCGGTCCGAGAAAGTATCTGCAGGTAACAAAGAGAAAAGGAAACCTCCAGCTGCTTGGGTCAGCGCGCATTTCCTTTTTCCCAGTTTTCCTTTTGCACCTTCTCGTTTTGTGTTTTTTTTCCTTTTTTCTTCTGGTTCAGCTCAATTAACACTTGCTGCGTGGCGGGGGTGAGGATGAGCTAATGGGGCGTAGATACATCTGTATCTGCTGGCTGCGTTGTTTCGTAATTACGAGCACAATGCAAAATGCCAAGGCGTTCGCAGTGTCTTGTTAATAAATCGGCCTGCTCTCGGTTCGCGACCTTTTGCCGCTGCCTGAAATCGGATGCTGCGTTGGCTGCGTTTTCCGCTTTTCCAGCTCAATTTACACTTGTTTATGGGCAATCGCAGTTAAGTCCAAAAAATCATTTTCCGAATGCGATTTTCTCGCTCCTCGGAGGACGGATCGCTTCACTGGCTGCTTGTTTGCTTGGTTACTTGGTAGCTTGGTTGTTTGGCTGCTTGACATTCGGTCTGTCAGCGGAAGCTGGCTGTAATGTGAAACCAAGCGTTGCCCTCAGCCAGCGCTTTCCAGCCGCAACAATAAACACCGAAAGCAATTCTCCTCCGCGCTCCGCATTTTTATTGTATTTGGGTTTTTGGTAATGTTGTTGTTTAGCTGGAATTTTCGGGCCATTCTCGATTGTTTCATGGCGGTGCTTTGTTTTTGTGTATTTTATACATTATTTTATGGTCATTGACTGACGCTGCCACTGAAGTGGCGTAAGCCGGCTTCAACTCATTGAAAAGGCCATAGGTATCCAATAAAATGTAGAATGGGTTTTTTAGCTCCTAGTTTTATGGCAAGTAATTAGGTTAGTCTACTTAAATGTAAAATATTTCCATCATTAAAAAGCTGAAGCGTAAACAAAGGGCTTAGATCTAAACTTTCTACTCAATTAAATTGTTACTACTGAGGCAAACCAAATTAGAATTCTTTTAGTTTCCGAAAGATAAATCGAAAGACTTAAACAAAAAACTTGAAGCAAGTCATTGATAGACGGTTACTAAAGTAACTTATTTATAGAACGTGTTGTGAACTGTTAGAGTAGGCCTTAACAGCCGCTTCAAAACATAAAAATATTTTTGTAATGTAATTTTGCAGGCTTCAGCCACACAGCTTGATTAAAACAATGCATGATTTGAGTGTCCGCTCACGCTGAAAACCCCACCATCCTCGAAATTGGTGATACAATGTTGCCAGCGACATTTTCACGCTGCTGCTGCTAATCAACAATCGATTCGCTGCCATAAAGATACTTGGAGGGGCCATAAAACAATTATCTGGAATTTAAAAGTCTTGGCACACAGTATTATAGTACTATGAGCACTTGAGCCAGCAACTCCGTCTGCAATCTGGGTCAGGCTAAACTAAGCTCCGATTCAAGTACGGATACTTAAGGCAGCCGGAGACGAATGCAATTTCCGATAATTGACGTCAACCATTATTGGGACTAGCAGCACATCATCCAAGTGAGTCAGCCATAGAGCAGAGTCTGGCTAAAACCAAGTAAACAACAATGGTTGTTCAATTGTTTTCGAGCCTGAGCCGCGGGCACCTGTTTATTGTTAGCTGTCATCGCTTTCCACAAAACTGTTTAAATTAACTTAATTGCATTTAATAGTCTGCCGACGAGTGTTACTCGACTCCAAATGCACTAAACACATCTTGTAGCCCGTCCAGATAGCGAATTCCTATGCTCTCTGGCCAGGAATTAGCATAAATGACATATCAATTAAGGCGACACTCGTATCCGAGAAATGCATTAGATGCTGGCCTAAAGTTTAGCCACTCCTCCCTGCTTTTGGCCACGCGGCTACCGTGTGCCGTGGAGTATTCACTGCCAATGTGAAGAGGCCGAGGCGCGTGGAAAATAAAAAATGAACAATTTTGCCAGCTAGCCAAGAGGCGGACTGTAAATAACCGACAATAAATCACTTTGAACAAATGTTCAAAAACAATTTGTAAAACTGCACGCTGCAGAGTCAACACAACTAGTTATAAATTTGGCATAAAAAAACGCCACAAAACAAACATTTTTAGCCACACTTTGATGAACATGATTTGTGTTTTGTTCGACACGCTGACAAATCACCAAAAGCACCCATGGGACCATGAAGATTTGATCGCCTCTCGCAAAGGAGCCACCGCATTTGGGCACTCTCAAAAATTTTGCCAGCCAGAGAAACACGACTTTTACCCACATAATTGATTTGATTGCCGATGAAAGTTGCTCCCCCCAAAAAAGGCCAGACCCACAAATTGAGGTCTGCGTCATTATCGTTCAGCCAAAAGCCGAGTCACGTGCAGGATCGCTATTAGCCATCGTTGGAGCATCACTTAAAATAAGGCCTATGCATCCAGCTTCATCGAACAGGGCTCAAACATGCTGAACGAACCTGCTCGAAGCGAACTAGTTTGGTTCATACCTGAGTCGCGGCTTGAGTTGCAGTTCGATTGTCCTGTTCAAACCCAAATTTATATTAATATGCTTAAAGTTTCTATAGAGGGCTTTGGAAACAAAATAGTTTTTTGGTTTTTCATAGGCTTGAAGTCTCGTACAAATTTTTATTTTTATTGTCTAACTTAGGAAAGTTACCATCACGAGCCTAATTTAAAGGGAGAATCCCAGTCGATATAGCCATCTTTGCAGTTTGCATAAAAATATTTTGCCATTTTTACACCTGTTACTCGTAGAGTAAAGGGTAAATTAGATTCGTTGAAAACTATAGTCGATCTAGGCACCTCCGTCTGCCTATCAGTCTATGCATATGAATTTAGAGATCGAGGAACCCATTATATTTAGAAGATAAAAATAAATAAATACATTAAGGCGTACAAATCATAAGCAATCTTATGAAATACACATCTTCATACATTCTAAACTGTTTGAAGTACATGAGATTATTGATTATAAAATGTGATTAGCTTAATTGTTATGCATGCTTTTAATATTTTCAATTGCATGAAGTTTAATGGGCTGAAAGGTTTTTTTTTGAAACGGGTTACGGTCAATTGAGCTGAAGACGGCATCCGAAAAACCTTTTAACCACTTCAACCTCATCGAACTGCAACTTGTTTGGCCAAGTGAGTGAGGTGCTGTGCTGATAGTTTTTGAATTTGGAGTCCCGCTCAGTTCTTATACGACACTCGCACCCGTCGGTCGAGCGATCACTTAGTGCCTCCACTCGATAAAGTCGGAACGATCCGCATCCAGCTCGGTGTTCCTGGACCACTCCGTTTGGCGGTTGGCGGTTGGTCGGCTCTTTAATTGCGTCACTAATGAGCTGCATTTATGTTAATCTCCGCACCCGGGACGTCTAAGCGCTGCACGCTCCCAAGATTTGGGATCTTCGCGGCATTCGGCACTTCTTGTGCTTTTCTTTTTTGGTAGTTTTCACCTGCTGAGCCGTTTATGGTTATAGCCGCAATTCCGTTGTGACAGTCGGAGGCGCTTTATCATAAATTAAAAAATCGTGTAGTCGGAGAGGGGCCGCTGGACCGCTGGACCGCTGGACAGCCCCGCCCCCTGGTATCCACTGATGGATGATGTTGCCGCTGATGGCAGTTTCGGCACTGAGTTATGGCCAAGTCGGGCCAAGCCGGAGATTTGCATGAATGAAACGCACGCGTTGCCCGAAAACTCTTTGGTGATCCGATCTCGCGATGACTTAATTGAAACGCCGTTGGCTGGAGCAAAAGAAGGTGTTAATTAGCATACGAACAAATGGACAAAAGCTCGCGTGTATTTCGTATATTTCGTACAGATTGTATTTCGGTTTTCAACCGTCGGTTTTGGTTGTGGATTTGGATTTGGTCATATTCGCAGAAGTATTGAATGCTGCCGTCTGCGTTTTCGGTTCATTAATAACAACGGAGCCGATCGTTCGGTTTACATCCAAATAGTTTTGATTCCCGGCTCCTATGGCGGCGTTTTATGGGTAAAAAAAAGAAAAGAACAAAGGCCCTGCGGAATTGTGGAACTGTGGAACCGTGGAAATCGGAGCCTGCTAAGCTCAGCAGAAACCAGAAAGGAAGGAAATTAAGCCTCAAATGCATTGAGTATTGAGACTTTTAGTGCGAATAGAATATGATGATAGTGCCAGCTGCTGGGCTCGTATTCGTGTTGTGTGCCTCGGATTTGCATCGTCATGTGGAAAATACATAACAAGCTCTTAATCTACATACTCTGGATTATGGAAATAAGGTATAGTAGCCCCATAAACGGAATGCCCATTAACTTTAACGGCCAAACAGTTATGCCCATGCTATGATCCCCAGGCGGCGTTGTTTTGCGTTGTTTTGTGTTATGCTGGGTTGGGTTTTTCTTTCGCATTTCCTTCGATTCACAGCGGATTTTCCTTTTATCGCTGACAGATCTGCACGAGTTGACAACTCAACTCTTTCGTTACCTTTCGCCATATCGCGCACATCGCCGGACACGATCGCTAATTTTATCTGCGAAGCCACGGCGCGATGTATGTTAAATCCTTATCGAACGCCCAAACAGTAAACGCCTCGTTCTATATAGTTGTTGGCCGATCGAAAGTTACGGGGGGCGCAGCGCTGGGGGCGATGGAAAACGCTGGAAAAAATCTCATTAAAATTGGCAATTAAATGGCAGGCAGCAAGTAAAGCACAAAACTGACAGTAAGACAGCGGTCTCTCATTTGTAGCGAGGAGCAGCTAAGAGCCGCGTCTAAGATCGGATTGGGGCGGTGGGCGGTGGGCGGGGCTGCGACAACTGGAAATCAATTTTTGCCATAAACTCATCAACGTTGCCTCTGCCTCTGTCTCTGTGTGTCTCA